GAAAAATCGATAATTTTGACCCATACAATGTATTTCTGGCTATTGCTACAAATATACCCCATCGACTTAAGACTGGTTTTGTGCTCCAGGGTCACAATTTATCTTAAAAATCATGTTTAATCTGTAGTAACGGTAACACTTTACGATAAGGTTTATTAGTTAACATTAGTTAACTACTTTAGTTCACATGAACTAAGCATGAACAATACTTCTAACGCATTTATTAATCTTAGCTAATGTTAATTCCAACATTTACTAATGCATTATTAAAATCAAAAGTTGTGTTTGTTAACAGTAGTTAATGCACGGTGAATTATCATGAACTAACAATGAACGACTGTATTTTCATTAATTAACATTAACAAAGATTAATAAATACTGTAATAAATGTATTGTTCATTGTAACTAATTAACTAATGGAACCTTATTGTAAAGTGTTACCATAGTAACATTAGGATTTAAGGTCACACTTTACAATAAGGTTCCATTTTTTTTTTTAAAGTTAACTACATTAGTTAACATGAACTAACAATGTAAAATACTTTATTGCATTTATTAATCTAAGTTCATGTAAATTTCAACATTTGTAAATACATTATTAAAAAATGGAATTGAGCTAACATGAAGACCTTCGTTCATCTTCGGAACACAATTTAAGATATTTTTGATGAAATATGAGGGCTCTCTGACCCTCCCATAGACAGCAAGGTAACTACCACGTTCAAGGTCCAGAAAAGTACCAAGATGATCGACAAAGTAGTCCGTGTGACATCAGTGGTTCAACTGTAAAGTTACGAAGCTACAAGGATACATTTTTGCGCAAAGAAAACAAAAATAATGACTTTATTCCACATTTTCCTCTCTACTGCGTCACTTGTGGACGCACGTTCACGACAGTATCATGACGCGAGCGTGTGGTGGCGCTGACCCAGATCCGGCGTAATGACGTCATCATAAAGTCGTATGATGATCAGAATAAAGTCGTTATTTTTGTTTTCTTTGCGCAAAAAAGTATTCTCGTAGCTTCGTAACTTTACAGTTGAACCACTGATGTCACACGGACTACTTTGTCCATCATCTTGGTACTTTTCTGGACCTTGAACGTGGTAGTTACCTTGCTGTCTATGGGAGGGTCAGAGAGCCCTCATATTTCATCAAAAATATCTTAAATTGTGTTCCGAAGATGAACGAAGGTCTTACAGGTTTGGAACAACACGAGGGTGAGTAATTAATGACAGATTTTTCATTTTTGGACGAACTAACCCTTTAATGTCTTTACTGTCATTTGATCAATTGAATGCAATTTAAGTATTTTTAAATGGATTCAAAAAATAAAAAGCATTCATAAAACATGAGTTTTTAAATAACACATGTAAGCATTTGAATTATTGAAAAACTTGAATAACATTTATAAAACACGAGCAGAACAAATTTCTTTAAAAAAAAAAAATTGGTTTGTGTTGTGTAAATAGTTGAAAAGCATTCTTATTTATGTGACGTGTTTTTCCAATGATTTACAAGCACGTCATTTTGTTAAATCATTCTTATGTAAATTACTGTATTAATTACTGTAAAAATACATACGGATATATAGGTAAAACCTGAGCATTTAAATAACAAATACATGAACACGAATAATTTAAATACTTAATACTTATTTAAATAGCATAAATTTAATGAACATTTGGATAATTAAAAAAAACCTTAACATTTATAAAACATGAGCAGACAAATGTATTTTAAGAAAGTA